AGACAGCGCTTGGTTCGAACTTTGTTTGGCCTCCATATACTGCGTTGAAACATTTGTTCTCACTTTAATGTGTAACTTCGGGTCCCACTCGTAAAAAGAACCCCCATCTACTCTATCGGTGAAAACAGACAGCCGCAATACTATCAAAGCCAGTAACCGACGTCTTATACAGTTTCTGTCGGAAGACGTGACTTCAATGAACGCACTCTTGGTTTTGGATCTCATCGTGATCTGAACATAAACGCCTCTGAGACTGTCATAACTGAACTTAGGGTTTCATGAAATTTTTGTGAACATTTCATAATTCGTTACTCATTTCGCTAACTTATTTGTTACTCAATAACGATTCATTACTCATTTGGTGAAATGGGTAAGGAGAATTTTTTCAGTTTAAATAAGGGTTTTTAATGAATTACGGGTTTATAAATGGTTTCAAAGGAATTAATTAAATTTTTATTTCCTTTCGTGTGCCATATTAATGCAATAGTATCATAAATGATAAGAGAGATTTTAGATTTCAAATAAGTGGGCATAACTAGTTCTTGAAATACCTTATGAGCTATTAATACCTAAGATTCCATTCTCCGTTCTGGTTATGCTAAGCCATAATCAGATACGAAAACGTTTAGCCAGAGTTGTTTAGAAAAACTTCCGTATTTATACCATTTTTTTTTTTTTTTTTCTAAACATATGTTATTTTTCTATAAAACAAAATGTAGATATTTTAAATGGCACAAAATTGTTGTGTTTCCTTTTGGATAACAACTTCCATCAGCGAACACAGCTATTTGAACTATTTAAAAATAATAGATATGCATTTTTATATAATAGTTTTAATTACCAAGACACATGTGAAACGAAATTCCAGCAAGGCGGCCAGTATGGCATTGAGAGTTTTTGTATTAATTTTTAATGCTTTAACAAGAGTCTTTCTGTAGAAGTTTCGGTGATATCTTCTGGTAATAAAATATAATACTTTAACGATATCAGAAAGCATAGACTTTACCACGTCTTAGAAAAATTGCCAAACTAATCGTAATAATTATAAAACGATTATCTTCATCCAGCTACTAAAACAAAGATGATATAAATGAAATATAATACAGTAAAAGAAAAAGCTTTATACAGGAATAATGATGTTAACAATGATGAATGCAATGATAATAATAATAAAAATAAAATTTGCTCCAGAAGCGATTCCATTAATTGCAATTTAAACATATAGTTTCAGGTACTGTGCGTTTTTGTAATTTTATGTTTATGAAATTTTTCTGAAGCATTACTGATGAATTATCAGAAATTCTGTAACATACTTGTTTCGAAATATCTTGTTTAAAACTGACTGATATTTCGTTACCTAAACTCATTTATGGAATAAACTGCATAGTAGTGAACATGACAATGAAGCGACTTCCTTTTGAATTTATATTTCTAGTTCTAGAGTAAACCAGCAATTTATATCTAAGAAGTTACCTAGGAAAATAGGTTTAAATTCACGGTCCATTTTGTACCTTAATATTTTTCATTTAATTACATGAAATGCATTATTTTAATTTGTTTATACTAGTCTGCATATATTTGGAGCATGAAAATGTTTCAGGCAACAAATATTTCATTTTTAAAGCAATAATGAAAATTTTAGAAATACTTATTATTACAGAATTCAGAAATACTTGGCATTCATATTCTAACTGCAGAATAAAAAATTGTCCAATAGAATGATACTTATAACAACTAACTATCCAAAACTTTTTCAAGCAGATTAGGCAACAAGCAATTACTAAATACCAGAGAAGTTAGGCTTATTTGCTGTTTTATCATTTTTTTTTTTTTTTTTTTTTTTTTTTTTTGTGTGTGTGTGTGTGTGTGTGTGTGAATTAAGCATAAATATTTTTAGTTTAGTTAGAACTAAACATAAATATTTTTCCTTATACTAAAACAGTACTTAAGGATTAGTTAATTATTTAAGATATCAAAGGTTTGGTTTATTTAATTACGGCAAAGCACTCGAGGGATATCTGTTGAAGGAGAGGAATGCCTTCGTGTAGGACTTTCTAACGGAAACTGGCTCGTGTACACTTAACGTATACAGAAAACCCACGAAAACGCCCATGCGACTATCCTTTTTGCCGGATTCTAGCCCCGGAACGCATCACCAGAGTTCAGCGACTTTGCCGCTCGAGCGCTGATGGTCTTTTAAGATATCGAAGGATTAGCTGACAAAATTCCTGGTTTGATTTGCTCGAAGTATTATTTTTCTCTAGAAAACATGCAAATAATGCAATAAAATTTGTTCATTTGTCTTATTTGTACTGTTAAGAGATACTAAGTAATAGTTTCAAACTGACGTTAATCGGTAATCTTCAAACTAGTGGCCGCTGAAGCAATTTTACACTTACTTGCGAATATATTTCCAGCAAATTACATTACTATGACAAGAATTTTAAGAAAAGGATTTAATGCTTAAATGATTTAGCATCCAATTTTAAATTACATTTATTATCATCAGAAACAAACTTAAGTAACGCCCCAGAAAATCTACAAGTGAAACTAATTACGTTACATTGTGATATCAATCTTACTCAAAGATTTGAAGATACAGATTTTTTTTTTTTTTTTTTCTTTTTTTTGTACTTTGTGATAAATTCCCCTCGGTTAAGATTTTTTTTTGCAATAAAAATAATCGCTTTGCTTGGGAATACATTTGTATGCGAACAGTATTTACCGCAATTTAAGATTAATAAATTTAAGAAAAGAATCAAATTGACCATGAGTATTGACAGTTCATGATGAAGATAGTTTCCAGTACTTTTTTTCCAAAGTTACAAACTTTATCAAAATCGAAATGGCAGGAGGTGTTGTAGCTGAAAGCTGTAGTAACAAATGAAGAAGCTTTTAATTATTTACATACAAATATACCTATTTTTTCTCTATGCGTGAAAGAAAAATTTACCGAATAGAAGCATGAGAATAGGTTATTATTATTTATTTTCAAATTATGTTCAACTTGGAAAGTTATTGTAATTTGTTTATTTTAGTTTACTTTAAAAGTAAGTTATTTAGTGGTTAATTCCACACATTAGAATTATTTGAAATAAATGTGAATCTGAAAATTTAATATTTGGCTGTCAGTGAGTTTGAATTACAAAGTGTTACTAAAAGAAATTTGCAGATATTAACCTTCAGGTTTCATACAGAAAATAAATATAAATTGGAATTTTTTCCTTTTATTACTACTGTTTGTATTTGTTTTGATAGATATTTAGCAAATAAAATTTTTAACTTGATTAAAAAATTTTGTTTTGTGAGAAGAAAACTCAACTCATTAGCTGCTTTCAGATCGCGCATTCGGCCGCATGCAATTATATTTTGAGACCATTGATTTAAAGAACTCGAAAAACTATGATAAAAATTCCATCTCAAGCTCATTCCATCAAATTCATCTCAACAATTTATTGCCACGTATACCAACCGAAATCCAATCACATAAAATTTGGTTGTCTTAAGTCCACCATCTAATACTACGCCCAAGTATAAATTTGTGAAACAGGCGAATATATTCTCCATTTCTTTAAAACAGAGAAGTCCCGAAATCACCAGAATCAAATTATCAAAAGACAACCCTTTGAATAGCTAAGTACCGTTCGAAATGTTTTATACTTAAACGGTTTATTAGAGTAAAATAAAGCCTTTTATTAAATTACATAAATAGTCATTGAACTGAGGTTACTGCTGAATAAGTTATAATGTATATGAATTCGATAAGTTAATAAATAACACTGTAAGCTTATTTTTTTAATTAACTACATACATGATTAAAACGTGATTGGTTTGGTTAATTTGATTATGGCGAAACATCCAGGGCTATCTGCCTAAGGGGAGTACTCCTTCGTGGAGGACTTTCTGAGGGAAACTGGCTCGTATACACGTTACACATGGGGAAAACTACAAAAACGTAAATGCAGCCAGCCGTTCTTCGAAACTCGAACCCCGGACCGAACTACCCAATGTTAAGCTACTTTACCGTGCGGTTGCTGATGGGCCTGTTAAAAAAGTGGACTTACTAAGTATGCATTGAGTAATCCCTTAAGTTTCATGGTAATTAATTTGTCATTAAAACATCTAGCTTTCTGTCATACGTTTTCTAATGAATTGCCGAAATAATATCGGAATGGAATTTCCTACTAGTAATGAGCAATTGTTAACCCGTCACAAATAAAACCAGCAATTGTGGTAACATTTCTAAAATCTCAGCTATTTGCTTGCAGTCACGTTTGGGAATCCACATTTAGTAACATTTTACTTCTGCTACGTTGTCTAATACCTACTTAATTTTACTTACTATTATTTATTCGTTTCTGTTGCCAGAAATTTGTCTTCATTTTTAAATTCTCTATTTAAATTTCAGAGCATACTGGTTTAAAAATTTAGAAAACATATAGTGAACAACGGTAATCGGAGTAAATAAATTCAACAGACTGTAGCTTTACTTAGTTATATTATTTTGAAAATAGTTTTGAATAAAGACATCATGTGAAAACAGCTGACCATAGTTCAGCAAGGTAAGTTACACTAACTGGTTTCTGTCATTTTCAAAAGCCTACGTAACTGTTCATTTTCCGGAAAATCTCTGAATGAGATAGAAAACACATTTATTGAAAGGGTTTCCTGATAACAATCTCTTTCTCTCGTTTAAATCTGGGTTGAACAATATTGTTCTACAGGAGCTAATCCACGCGGTGGATACATATCTGACAAATATCCTCAAGCAAAAATGTTATTCGTAGCACAAAATGTTTCATCCGCATGAGGGAAAAAATAAGGAAATGAAACGCACAATCACCTCTTTCTTCATATAGTTTCATGTCACGTGGGCTTTTCGGCCAACCGAAGAAGGCCTGGTTGCATCAGGGTCGCAGAAAACTTCGAAGACTCAAATCTTCACAGGTTCGAGATTAGAAGTGAATGAACCAGGTCAAGTCCACTCTAATCCACGTGTTTGCCACACATGTCTTCAAGGTGTGTTTTGTTGCGCTCAGCCAGTTTCATGCTCACGGATGAAACGGATTCTCGAATGGCTGCCGTCTCAGATGCGGTCAAAAGGGGAGAATGACGTTAATTACGAAGGAGAAAGTATGTGCTAAAGGTCTTTAAAGGGAGATATTTTTTTCTTTAAAGTTTCTTTTAAAGGTCACGTTGAATATCTGTATATCAGGCAAGAAATAAAAAAAATTCTTGCCTGATAAACAGTCACAGTACTAATTAGTGCTGATATTTTTCTTCTTAATTTCGCAAAGAGTTTAGCACCGAAGGTGCTATCAATAAAAACTAGGATGGAACTACAAAGAGATCTCTAATTTGCTCTTTACTTCAAGCCCGTAATTCCCAAAATGTGTACATTAATTTATACCAGATTGGAGACAAATTATTCAGGCCACGAAAAGTTTTTAAGTGCTTAGGAATATAGTGCTTGAATAAAAGAAAACCTTTTATGCATGATTGAACAGCTCATTAATATTATTATGCACTTTTTTCGATTATTAATAACGTATGTCTACTTATAATTGCGAATTAAATTATAATTATAAGAATATTTCATTGATTATATCTATTTGTTTATTAGCATTTCATTATTACATTATTTTCGTCTAAGAATTTCCTTCCCCCTCCGAGCATTATATACATATAGGTCACGAGGCTAAAATCTTAGGAAACACTGCTATAAACGAATAATCCGACCTAATTCTAGCTGAACAGCACTAATTAGTACTGTGACTGTTTATGAAAAGTATCTTAGTTTTTAAAAGGGTTTTTATTATCCAATGTGAAATTAATTACTTATTCATGTAAAAAATAAGGAGGGTTTATGTGTTTGTTTAACTGAATATAGAAGTGTATGAGGGCTAACTGACAAAGGTATGCTTTCGTGTAGAATTTCCTAGGGAAAATAGGCTCATATTTACGTTGCGCTTAAGGACAAGCATGAGCATGCTTACACGTAGTGGTAAGCTGTGGAGAGAGGGGGGGTCGTGCGATCATTTTTTTAAATTTACCTCTAATTTCCAAGTCTATTGTTCTCTTTCTTTGCTAGTTTATTCATTAAAAAAAAGTTTAAATGTATGTTAATTTGAACGACATTTAAACTCGATCAACAATATTTCTGTGACAAGAGAAGCTTTTTGACTCCATAAGCTATTTTAGATTTAGCGACACTACCCTTAAATGGAAAAACTTTAAGAAAATTAGTCCTTATATGTAAAAAATGTTTTTTAAAAGTCTAATAAACTTTTTTAAAAAACTTTTTTAAAAGTTTAATATAGCTTGGGTTATATCCTCCTAGAAGATCAGCTGATATAAAAGAAAAAAATAATGTGAGGCAGCTTGTCCCTTATAAATTGATTCGCTATTTTGTGTAATTTCTGCAGTATTTTATTATGCTTACTTTTTTTTGTCAATTTAAGTTCTATTTCCTTTATTCTTTTAAAGATAGTTTCTTGTTTGTTCACAGCTATTTGTATTTTTCTAAGAAGTGAAACATTTAATTAGACTCTAATACTTGGTTTCCATGAGATAAGTACAAGCCCTTTGTTAAAATTTTCATAACTTACTACAGATTACACAGCCAGCCCATTCAAGAGGTTTGAAACTGGGAATGACTTGCCAGGTTGATCATTCCATTCATTGGTGTTATTGACTTGAAAACAGTGAGTCTGAGTAAAAAGGGAAATATGTTTCGTAAGTATAAAGGCTATAATAAACATATTTTCTCACTAATAATTTTAAAATATAATTTTGACCGCTGCATGAAGCTCATTTTGAAAGATTTATTCATTATGAACATAAATATACATTTTCAGTAATTTGCAATATGTGTATAATGAAAATTATATATTACCTATTCTATAATTTCAATGTGCATATATTGCAAATTACAAAGGGAATAACATATTATATATGTATCTGTAATTATGAGAATAAGTATTATTTCTTATGAATGCAATAAGGCTTGAAAAAGTGTTTAAATAGGAGTTAAATATTTTTTTCTTCAAATAAATATTAGAACAGAATGCCTATCAGTTTTTCATCGACTATCAGCGTCTATGCTTATCAACAAATGATAACATCATGGGTTCAAATTCCATTCAGAGTCTTTAACATGATTAATGAAATTTTCCCAAATATCATCAAATAATTAACTTTATTTTTTATTTTTTCCTATTATAATAGTTTATTATTGCTTATCCGTACAAAAACAGAGCTAATTAAAAAGTAAGCTTTTTATTAGTATAGTACATAAACATCGATAATAAAGTATCTTTAACCACAGATTTATAGTTAAGAATAATGGCTCCATTGTTCTGTAGTATATAGAAATAATTTGAAAATTAAATCCGATAATCTCTTTAGATGGCTTTGCAATCGGAAAAATGAAAATATAAGATTCTTTAGGGATTTTTGGATTTAACCTTCAAATTATTACAATATTCATATCAGAAATTGAAGAGTATCAGTATTGAGATTCTCTTTAAGAAATATGATGAAGCTTACAAATATCTTCAAAACGAAATTCTTCCATATATAATTATGTACCTTATATATACCTTATATAATTATATATAACTCTTTATCATTAAATTACTTTGAGTAACTCTTCATCAGCGCAATGTAAATATAATTTAATGATATGCGTCAATATGTACATTATATATATATATAGATAGATAGGTTACAGAGATTGACTACTTAAAAGATGTAATAATTTTACTTACACAAGAATTTAAAAAATAATTTTTTTCACAATTTATTAGTTTTTTCTTAAAAAAGCTGGAATTAAATATCATATTGTTACAAATTTTGCATTTAGTTAGATGTTTTTAATAGAATTATAATTAATTTTTTTTTTCCCTGTGTAGTGCAGCGCGTGAAGACTTTTAAGAGAAAGCTACGCCGAAGAAATAAAAATACAATGTGCATTTAAACATTAAATAAAAGTTTATCTCGGTAATATATATTTAATTTGAATAAATGTAATTGACTACTATGTTAACTGTAACCGTAATTCTATTCTTTTTGCTTTCCAGAAATTGACGGAACTATCTCTCGTGGCAGATTTAAAAAGCTATAATAGCCGGAGAGAAACATCTCAGCTCAGTTTTTAAATAACTGTTGTTGTTGATCGTAGCGAATTCGCGGTGTGATCGGATTAGCTTTCTCTGCACTTTGGATTGCGTTATATATATAACGTTTTAGTAGTTTAAAATATAACTATTGCGTTATATTGTGTGATATTGTACGAATATCTGTGAGGAAAAACCCAGCGTTTTGTTATATTTCTTGTGACAAGAATAAATTTTATTAACTTTTTAGCGGACTTGTTCATTCAATCCGTTACGGACTCGTACGCAAACAATATTTAATATTTAAACTAACAAGTTATGACAAGCTTATCTGAAACCGAAAGGAGGGTGAGAAAGGATGTTTTGTTAGAATTAAAGATTTCTGTATTTTGTATTTAACCTGCAAGTTTTTCTGTATATACTTTTGGCCTCTGTCCTTTTAATAACAAGGCGCGTTATTTTTCAAAGTCTTAAATTAGCCATTTAAATGAAGACCTTTTTCTGTAAAACTCTGCAGTTTCCTTTTCCTTGACGTTTAGCCAGAAATAATTATAAGTTTATTAGTTTTTACTCTGAGCTTTTTTTTCATTTTTAGCATTTTGATGTCCAGAATATTGCCAAAGACAATAAAGAATTCTCTCCAACTACAACCCCTCCAGTTCAATTTAGATTTAGATTTTCTTGTTCCATAGTTATTCAGAAATCTTCTTTGTTTAATTTTGTCGCCAATTCAAAATCTACTCATAGCGAAACAGTTACTTAAACTCTCCCACTTTAAATGTGGCAGTCCAAGGAGTTCTTAGCATGCTGCAGCGCACCTACCTCCATAATGAATAGGACAATATATAGCAGGAGTTTTAAGTGTAAGTAATAATAAAAATTAATTTTGGTTGATGCAAAAATCTATATCTTGATTAGACCATTTAAATGTGTTTTAATTGTATCTATTAAGTAACTTTGTAAAGTATTTCTCCCGCCTTCTTCGCATGCGTTCGTGGTGTGGTGGTCTGTACGCTCAGCGCGTAATTGAGGAGTCTATGGTTCGATTCCCGGCGAAGGCGTTGCATATTTTTCATCTTTCCTGTTTCCAAAATACCTAATGTCTCTACAACTTTTGCTTTGTAACTATTGATTATTATTTAAGTTTTACGTATTGTTACAGATTTTGTATTTATTTAGCTCTTTTTAGTAGAACTGTAATTAAAACTTTTTTTTTTTTTTTCCTTAGTAATGCAGCGTGTCACGAGTTCTAAGAGAAAGCTACGCCGGAAAAGTAAAAATACAGGAGCACGCGCATTTCACATTTAATAAATAGATATCTCGTAATTGTACTCTTTTGCCTTCCAGAAACCTCTTGAAAAGACCAGAATGGCGTGATTTAAAAGCTTATAAAAGCCGGATCAAAACATCTTGGTTCAATTGTTTACTTCGTTTTCGATTGATTGTAGCGAATTCGCGGTGAGATCAAATTAGCTTTCTCTGTGCTTTTGAATTGTGTTCTATTTAACGTTTTAGTAGTTTAAAATATAACTACTGTGTGATATTGTGATATTGTACGAATATCTGTGAAGAAAAATTTCAGCATTTTGTTTTATTTCTTGTCATGAGGATAAATTTTTATTTACTTTTCATCAGACCTTGCGCATTCAATCTATTACGAACCCGTATGTACGCAACAGTATTGTTCAGTATTTTACTACATTCTCTTGTCTCTACATATATTGTCTTACACCCCTTCAGGGAATTTCACATTTGTTGAAAGTAAAAGATTTAAATTTTAACATTACATTGTATTTTTTTTTTTTTTTTTTTTTTTTTTTTTTTTTTACATTTTGGCATAGCAGCATCGTTCAAAAATGCGAACTATACGAAACACGGTCTATTGAACTGTTGGTGATTTTATGGAAAGAGACTAATTCCCCTTGAAAAGTCAGGATCTTTCTATGCAGTCAGCAACAATTTTCTTGCAAATTACTTTTAATGTTTTAATATTTTTATAGTTAAAAAATTTTTCATTAAATTTTTACATTTTACAATTTTCGCTTTCCACAATATGCACTAACTTTAATAAGTTTTGCACATTTCAAAATCTTCCTTTTCAATAGATTTTTATGAAAAAAATTAATATTTTCTTTCCATTTCCTAGTAGACAACCAAATTTAATTTAATTATTAACATTTATATATATATACATAAAGAAACAAATTAAGTGGCTAAAAATTAAAAACAAATTTTTATACCCGTCCTGCGCTATAGCTGCAGGATTTAAGTAAAATAGACTCGAAGAATCTAAACTTAAAAGTAAGTTGGAGTCACGATTGCAATTATTAATATCGTTGAGGAAGTGCCTTGCTTTGACTAACACGATTGCAGTTATTAATATTGTGGAGGAATTTGCCTTGCTTTGACTCCAATTTACTTCTAACTTTAGATTCTTTAAGTACCTGTTCATAGTACCTGTTCACGGCTCACAGTCACCCATTGAGTGTTCAAATTAGTAGTTGGTCGAACCACCCTTCCTTGTATTCGTCAAGGCAAGAAGTGGTAGAGGTTCCTAATGTCATCCTGTGACACATTCTGCCACGCATTCATGAGTTGTCGCTCCATATCTGCGATATTTTGTGGTGGCTGAATCTGGCGGCCTACCATGACCCAGACATGCTCGATATGTGAAAGGTCTGGTGACCTTGCTGGGCAAGGAAGAGTAACAACCGCACGGAGATAGTCCAGAGATATGCGAGCGGAATGTGGCTTGGCATTATCCGGTTGAAAAATGGCCCCAGGATGACGTGCCATGAAGGGTAATGCAACCAGCCTCAGGACGGTATCAATATATCGTTGAGTTGTTAAAGATGTACGGAGGATGACTAAAGATGACCTGCTGTCGTAATAAATAGTGCCTCACACCATGACACCAGGGCTTATGGCTGTATGTCTTTATAAAACAAAGGCTGATTGGGACCGCTGGTCCCGTCCTCTCCAGATACGAACACGGTGGTCATCTGCTTCAAGAGTGAAGCGAGATTCATCGCCGAACACTATACGACGCCAGTCTGATGGCTATGGTGATCGGCTGCGACACCACTCCAGACGACTCCGCCGATGTTGTGGGATCAAAGGCAGACGTCTTAAAGGCCTCAGTGAGCGTAACCCCGCCTCAGACAAGCACCGTGAGGTGGTGGATGGTACCACGGGAGGTATAGACGTGGCTGTAGTGCGTTGAATAGTCGACAATGATACCGTTGGGGCGGTTCGGGCCTGGCGAATAATCGTCCTTATCTTGTCTCGCATTTGTGCTCTCTTGGCCTTCCAGAGCCTTTATTTCGTCGGCAGTTTTCCTTGTAGCAAACCATTGCTGCCAACATCTTTGCACAGCACAGTGTCTGTACGCTGCATGTGGCGGTCTATTGCTCGGTATGACCACCCAGCTTCACGCAACCCCTACAATGCGAACCACGTTCGAAGTCATTTAGTTGTCTGTAAGGTCTTCGATATCGTTGTAATGACATCTTTAGTTTGCTTCTTTACGGAATTACAATGGCACAGCAACAAAAAACAACAACAAAAAAAAAAACATTTTCTGCCTCAGCTACTAGACTTTATACTTTGCGAATTGCGCACTAGAAATGCTCGTATCATCGCAATTTCTGTTCATTTGCCTTGAAACTTTGATCATTTGCATGTTCCATCAAGATGTTTTTGCATACCAAATTTCGTCACGATTGCAAAAGTCCTTCTTGGTGCTTCGATTTTTTTTTTTTTCCAAAAGAGTATACTGCTGCCCATCCAAAATGCAACACGAAAAAAGACAACAGCTATCAAGAAGAAGTTTATTTCGGAGATTACACATAGTGTCAATGTTAATGGATTTGACATACAGTCTTCCTTAAGGTGAGGAAGAAGAAAAAATCAGTAATAAGTGTTGCCTACACGTTTATCAATAGCCGCTGCTACACGCCGCGACACTGAGTGAAAGAGATTTGGAATGCGTTGTTGGGGAATGGCAGTCCATGCTGCCTCTACACGTAACGAAAGTTCATCTGATGTACACTCGGGTATGGCATGCCGGGTTAGGCGTTCTCCAGTCATTGACCAGGCATGTTCGATGGGCGATACAGCTGAAGAACGAGCAGGCCAGATTAGCAATGCAATATGGTGGGCTAAGAAGAAAGCTTGAACATTGAGTGCAACGTATGGTCGCGCATTGTCCTTTTGAAATCTGGCCGCAGATAAGCCGTGCAGGTAAGGAAGGGGAGAGATACAGCATTATCTGGTAAATGTACCGAAAATGCATACTAGGAGGATATGGGAGTGGAATCGAATGCCACGTCATACCATTGCATAATAATGACAATGAGCATAACACAACTGTCGAGCAGCCTCTCTCGACGGTTTTTTTCAAACTCTATTCTCACCATCGTGGTATTGTAGGCAGAAGCATGTTTCGCCCGAAAACACAATGTTATGCTATTCGGATATCCATCTCCGCCATTCAGTACATCATTGCAAACACAAACGCTTATGGTTTAAATTTAAAGGTAAGCAAAGCAATGGCCGCCTAATGAACGGTCCATTACACTGTAAACACATCGAATTGTTCATGCAGGCACTGATTATTATGTTACAGACTGCATTTTTGTGATATGGTTACGGATGTAGCAGTGCACTCCATCAGTTCCATGCGCACAATATACCTCTCTTCCCGTGGAATGGTGCGACGAGACGATTGCAGTTACTCTCATCTGCCATTCATTCTCTCTTAAATGCGCTGATTCTATATTCGTATGACTGTTGCTTAGCAGCGTCCGACATGATGACCGATTTTCTGGAAGGACAACCCGCAATGTCTGTATGCACCGAGCGGGTCTTAGATCTTTGATCTAAACGTAGTCGCGAGCCATTGACTTTGCGGCCTTTACTTCCATAAATGAACTTAGCCCCTAAGGTAACCTTAAAAACATCAAAAAGTCCATTAGAGAGAAAACCTACGCACAGTGTGCTGAGAGTGTACGTACCGTCGTGAGTAGCATTTCTTTGCAAAATTATTAAGCAACTGTATATAGCAATTGAATGGCATAGCTTTTCCACAGGGTGCAATTATACGTAAA